TTATTACAGTCACTCACTTAGCCACCCACAAAGACACTCATTCACTCAGTCACTCACCTAGCCACCTACAGACACAGTCACTTATTCACTCAGTGACTCACCTAGCCACCCACACAGTCACTCACCTAGCCACCCACACACTCACTCACCTAGCCACCCACACACTCACTCATTCACTCAGTCACTCACTTAGCCACCCACACAGACACTTAGTCACTCATTCAGTCACTCACCTAGCCACCCACAGTCACTCACCTAGCCACCCACACAGTCACTCATTCACGCACTCACCTAGCCACCCACACAGTCACTCATTCACTCAGTCACTCACCTAGCCACCCACACACTCAGTCACTCATTCACTCAGTCACTCATCTAGACACTCACACAGTCACTCATTCACTCAGTCACTCACCTAGCCACCCACACACTCAGTCACTCATTCACTCAGTCACTCACCTAGCCACCCACACAGTCACTCATTCACTCAGTCACTCACCTAGCCACCCACACACTCAGTCACCTAGCCACCCACACACTCAGTCACTCTTTCACTCAGTCACTCACCTAGCCAACCATACAGACACTTAGTCATTCAGTCACTCATCTAGCCACCCAGACACTCACCTAGCCACCCACACAGTCACTCATTCACGCAGTCACTCACCTAGCCACCCACATAGACAGTCACTCATTCACTCACCTAGCCACCTACAGACACAGTCACTTATTCACTCAGTGACTCACCTAGCCACCCACACAGTCACTCACCTAGCCACCCACACACTCACTCACCTAGCCACCCACACACTCACTCATTCACTCAGTCACTCACTTAGCCACCCACACAGACACTTAGTCACTCACCTAGCCACCCACAGTCACTCACCTAGCCACCCACACAGTCACTCATTCACACACTCACCTAGCCACCCACACACTCAGTCACTCACTCACCTAGCCACCCACACAGACACAGTCACTCACCTAGCCACCCACACACTCAGTCACTCACTCACCTAGCCACCCACACACTCAGTCACTCACTCACCTAGCCACCCACACAGACACAGTCACTCACCTAGCCACCCACACAGACAGTCAAGTCACTCATTCACTCACTCACCTAGCCACCCACACATTCAGTCACTCACTCACCTAGCCACCCACACAGACACACACTCACCTACGCACCCACACAGACACTGTCACTCATTCACTCACCTAGCCACCCACACAGTCACTCACTCACCTAGCCACCCACAGTCACTCATTCACTCACCTAGCCACCCACACACTCAGTCACTCACCTAGCCACCCACACACTCAGTCACTCATTCATCTAGCCACCCACACACTCATTCACACACTCACCTACCCACCCACACACTCAGTCACTCATTCACTCAGTCACTCACTTAGCCACCCACAAAGACACTCATTCACTCAGTCACTCACCTAGCCACCTACAGACACAGTCACTTATTCACTCAGTGACTCACCTAGCCACCCACACAGTCACTCACCTAGCCACCCACACACTCACTCACCTAGCCACCCACACACTCACTCATTCACTCAGTCACTCACTTAGCCACCCACACAGACACTTAGTCACTCATTCAGTCACTCACCTAGCCACCCACAGTCACTCACCTAGCCACCCACACAGTCACTCATTCACGCACTCACCTAGCCACCCACACAGTCACTCATTCACCCAGTCACTCACCTAGCCACCCACACACTCAGTCACTCATTCACTCAGTCACTCATCTAGACACTCACACAGTCACTCATTCACTCAGTCACTCACCTAGCCACCCACACACTCAGTCACTCATTCACTCAGTCACTCACCTAGCCACCCACACAGTCACTCATTCACTCAGTCACTCACCTAGCCACCCACACACTCAATCACCTAGCCACCCACACACTCAGTCACTCTTTCACTCAGTCACTCACCTAGCCAACCATACACTTAGTCATTCAGTCACTCATCTAGCCACCCAGACACTCACCTAGCCACCCACACAGTCACTCATTCACGCAGTCACTCACCTAGCCACCCACATAGACAGTCACTCATTCACTCACCTAGCCACCTACAGACACAGTCACTTATTCACTCAGTGACTCACCTAGCCACCCACACAGTCACTCACCTAGCCACCCACACACTCACTCACCTAGCCACCCACACACTCACTCATTCACTCAGTCACTCACTTAGCCACCCACACAGACACTTAGTCACTCACCTAGCCACCCACAGTCACTCACCTAGCCACCCACACAGTCACTCATTCACACACTCACCTAGCCACCCACACACTCAGTCACTCACTCACCTAGCCACCCACACAGACACAGTCACTCACCTAGCCACCCACACACTCAGTCACTCACTCACCTAGCCACCCACACACTCAGTCACTCACTCACCTAGCCACCCACACAGACACAGTCACTCACCTAGCCACCCACACAGACACTCAAGTCACTCATTCACTCACTCACCTAGCCACCCACACATTCAGTCACTCACTCACCTAGCCACCCACACAGACACACACTCACCTACGCACCCACACAGACACTGTCACTCATTCACTCACCTAGCCACCCACACAGTCACTCACTCACCTAGCCACCCACAGTCACTCATTCACTCACCTAGCCACCCACACACTCAGTCACTCACCTAGCCACCCACACACTCAGTCACTCATTCATCTAGCCACCCACACACTCATTCACACACTCACCTACCCACCCACACACTCAGTCACTCATTCACTCAGTCACTCACTTAGCCACCCACAAAGACACTCATTCACTCAGTCACTCACCTAGCCACCTACAGACACAGTCACTTATTCACTCAGTGACTCACCTAGCCACCCACACAGTCACTCACCTAGCCACCCACACACTCACTCACCTAGCCACCCACACACTCACTCATTCACTCAGTCACTCACTTAGCCACCCACACAGACACTTAGTCACTCATTCAGTCACTCACCTAGCCACCCACAGTCACTCACCTAGCCACCCACACAGTCACTCATTCACGCACTCACCTAGCCACCCACACAGTCACTCATTCACCCAGTCACTCACCTAGCCACCCACACACTCAGTCACTCATTCACTCAGTCACTCATCTAGACACTCACACAGTCACTCATTCACTCAGTCACTCACCTAGCCACCCACACACTCAGTCACTCATTCACTCAGTCACTCACCTAGCCACCCACACAGTCACTCATTCACTCAGTCACTCACCTAGCCACCCACACACTCAGTCACCTAGCCACCCACACACTCAGTCACTCTTTCACTCAGTCACTCACCTAGCCAACCATACACTTAGTCATTCAGTCACTCATCTAGCCACCCAGACACTCAGCTAGCCACCCACACAGTCACTCATTCACGCAGTCACTCACCTAGCCACCCACATAGACAGTCACTCATTCACTCACCTAGCCACCTACAGACACAGTCACTTATTCACTCAGTGACTCACCTAGCCACCCACACAGTCACTCACCTAGCCACCCACACACTCACTCACCTAGCCACCCACACACTCACTCATTCACTCAGTCACTCACTTAGCCACCCACACAGACACTTAGTCACTCACCTAGCCACCCACAGTCACTCACCTAGCCACCCACACAGTCACTCATTCACACACTCACCTAGCCACCCACACAGTCACTCATTCACTCAGTCACTCACCTAGCCACCCACACACTCAGTCACTCAGTCACTCACCTAGACACTCACACAGTCACTCATTCACTCACTCACCTAGCCACCCACACACTCAGTCACTCAGTCACTCACCTAGCCACCCACACAGTCACTCATTCACTCACCTAGCCACCCACACACTCAGTCACCTAGCCACCCACACACTCAGTCACTCAGTCACTCACCTAGCCAACCATACAGACACTTAGTCATTCAGTCACTCATCTAGCCACCCAGACACTCACCTAGCCACCCACACAGTCACTCATTCACGCAGTCACTCACCTAGCCACCCACATAGACAGTCACTCATTCACTCACCTAGCCACACAGTCACTCACCTAGCCACCCACACACTCAGTCACTCACCTAGCCACACACACAGTCACTCACCTAGCCACCCACACACTCAGTCACTCACTCACCTAGCCACACACACAGTCACTCACTCAGTCACTCACCTAGCCACCCACACACTCAGTCACTCACCTAGCCACCCACACACTCAGTCACTCATTCACTCACCTAGCCATCCATACAGACACTTAGTCATTCAGTCACTCACCTAGCCACCCAGACACTCACCTAGCCACCCACACAGTCACTCATTCACGCAGTCACTCACCTAGCCACCCACATAGACAGTCACTCATTCACTCAGTCACTCACCTAGCCACACACACAGTCACTCACCTAGCCACCCACACACTCAGTCACTCACCTAGCCACACACATAGTCACTCACCTAGCCACCCACACACTCAGTCACTCACCTAGCCACACACACAGTCACTCACCTAGCCACCCACACACTCAGTCACTCATTCACTCAGTCACTCACCTACCCTATGCCCAACTTCCTTCATGTCTCCACGCTCATGTTCAATCGATTCCAGTTCGATGTCAAACATGCATCTCTCCATGCTTTTATTTTCAAACACTGTTCTATTTTCTCTTGGGGTTTATATTTGCAAGCGTATTAACCTGCTAAATACACGCACTGTACAGAATGCCAACCCATGTTTTTCAATGGGATTTTCAATGAGTCGGGGTATATTTTTACCAGCCCCCCCCCCCCAAAAGGGTCTCTTTGGCATTTATTTCAGAGCTCTCCGTTATGAAATTAAATGGGCAATATTAGTGCCATGGGCTACAGCAAGAAAGGAGCATCACTCGTGGTGGGAGCAAAAACTTTGGCTATGAGCAAGTTGAGAACCCCCCCAAATTGTAAATTAATTGGAGCCGCTAAAGTTACGGCACCCGAGGACTGCCAAGTGAAATCTGGTTTGGGGCTCATGGACAAAATAGCAATGCACACGGCAGACAAACTCGGCAGGTTAAGGAGACTAATCATAATTATTTTAATTTCAACATTCTTCATTTCCACTGCGACCTTTAAAATCTTTCGGTGCAGTCAATATAGAAATCTAAATTAATCCTCCAAAAAATGACAACTAAAATGTAAACGCGTCAAATTGCACTTTCGACCTATACCCACGGTTAACTTTCAACAAGAGTGATGGGACATTCACAAATAATACACAAAGTGACAATGATGTTGACACCGACGTTCAATACGGCATGAAACATGTTGAGTTGTCTTCTATGAAGGCTGGGCAGTGGAGAAGCACAGTTTGAGGGTGTAGAGGTATGGAACATCTGAGAAAATAAAAACAGGGGAGCCACATGACGTCTTCACTGGAGCACACAAAAACTTAAAACAATGAAGCGATTCTTAGGAGGGTCTTTGTTGATGTTAACAAACTCATTCAGGGAGCTAAGATAACGTTGAGTTGTGATAAGTGAAAGTGCTTGGCTATGTCAACTTTCAATTCCATTCTGTATATGCAAACAACAACAACGAAATCCAAATCGCCCATAAATAACAACCTGTTAATATATAATACAACAATCTACAACTGCTTTCGCTTCCTGCAATTTCACCCAAGGCTGCTAGGCAGCCAGTGTACACAGATGGTGCTATGGTAATAACAAGCGCCCCCCCCAAATCTGAACATTAGGTGCTCAACAGAGCGTACGACCAAAGATTTGCCGATAATGCAGCACCGCTTCAATGTCATCGCACCAACACAAATGGCCAACACCCCACAACTTACTTGCGTTCTTCAGGGGGTGATGGTTAATGCACGCCAGAGCCTCCATGGCATCGTTCTTGGTCTCCCACTCCATCAGGCCGGACACGCTCCTATCGGCTGGACACGTGGACGGACCGTCGCTCATAGAGTAATTTGGGTCGTGTAAAACGCAACACCCTTCGCCATTTTGATTTAAAGCTTTCGTGACTGCAGGGATTCATATTCTTGGTTCTTTCGGTAAAGTCACCACCACGTAGAAGGGAAACAATAAAATAATAAAAATATAAAACAATAAAATTCTCACGACGTTTCGACTGCAACACAAGCAATCATCATCAGGTGTGAAAACCACAGCAAGAAAATTTAAAAAAAGTGGCGGTTATTTTTAACGTTAGCACCACGGAGAGCGATTTGGCAGTTGTTCAGATGGACGAGTCCATCTATGTTCTGAAAAGAGGAGGGGGGAGACGAAAATAATGGATGCGGTCTGAAAGCCACCGTAAGCGTGAACAATCAATTAAGACCCGAAATGGTTTATCAAATCCTTCCAATGATTGCTAAGCCAGAATCCATCTTCTCGGTTGAAATTGTCTGTTTGTATATATTTATTATTTTGTTGTTTCCCTTCTACGTGACTTTACCTAAAGAAGCCGTGTTTAAAGGGTGGTGTCAGTCGTCGGTGAATTTCTGCAGCAGGAAGGCTTCAGTCCAATGCCTTGGCTACGCTAACACGCTTCAGTCAGCTTGGGCGCGAGTGAATAGCAAGGACTGCTCTCGGGAGAGAATTTTTCACAGGGTTTCTTGAGCATGGCCTCATAGCACACGTTGCAGATCATCTGGTGTCGTGCTGTAAATCAAGCGACGATTGCATGGAGAATACAGTACACGATTTATTCTGTGCCATGACACGTAAGATAAATAATAAAGATACTTTGCGGGACTTACTTTTTCCAGAAAACACTTTGAAAGAGCGGGGCCTCGCAATCGACATTTCGTCGCACAGCTGCGGGGACAGAACGGGCGGCGTTCACGTTATAGTTGGTAACAGTTAACGTGCACCGGTAAAGCATTCGGGAGATGTCATTTTAATTGCAGGCACAAATCCCGTTGTCCATTTTTAAATTTACATTCGCCAGCTTTGGAGCAGTCTTTCAAAGTGCTCAGATTATTGTGAACACCAAGCATAGACTCAGGGGGAATGCAACCATTTGCAGAAACAATGTCCAAAGACTGAAATGTAAACCTTTCGAATACGAATGAATATGAATCGTAATGTATTGAACAGGACAAATTAACGCGAGGTGTTGTCTAGTCTGTAACAAAAAAGTCCCTTTGGAACATCGACTGCATTATTTATACATCTTATGTTTTAACCGCTGAAAGGAAACTACATTACACCATTTTACATTTGTCCCGTCACAGGAAACGTGTCATGGGCCACCACAAACTCCACAACATCAATAGGCTCATCTTAAAAACCCACGATTGTTTCACGTGCAAACTTTAGACTTGAATATTTATAAAAGCTTCACCTGGGAAAACTTTTAAAGAAACCGAACGCGCTCCCCTTCTGCGCTGCTGGCAGCAGGCTGAAGGGGCGGCGGGGGCACGGACCTGCGCGAACATCTCGACCGTGATGTCCGTGGGCGCGTTGAAGAAGTGCAGCACCGCGGTGGGACGCTGGTTGCGGTTCTTCGCCGCCTTCTCGCTGTCGGCTTCTTCGCGGCGATGCCGGTACTTTGCCGGTCTGTCAGCGCCGTGTCCCCCCGGTGCCTGCGGCTGGACGCGGGTTATCCGATGGCCTCTGCCAAGCGGCACTTGGCGGTTGCGGTGCAGCGGATGCGGCGTGCTGCGCCGAGTGTTCCGTGACGTGGCGCTGCAGGCGTGGGGGGCGCGGGTCGGCCGTGCGTGTCACAGCGGCGGCGGCGTGTTGGTTGCTTGGTCCCCGGTGCCTCCCAAGTGCCGACGAGGATGTCGCCAATGTCGCCGTTCGTGTCGTCGCCGTTCACGTCGGTGGCTGTTGGCTGCCGGGCGCTTGATTGCTCGTGTGTTGCTTGCAAATTGCCTCCGTGTGCTTCTGTGTGCGGCAATGCTCGCAGATGCTCCTTGTAGCGTTGATGTTTGGAGTGAGGAAAATACTCTTCGAAGCGTTTACGGAAATTTGGCGATAAAATCAAACCGCACCGTGTCCCTGAAGCTCCCTTGATAAAGTGGCGAGACTTACCTCTTCGGAAACTAATATCTGTGCGTACGCACAATGTACTCGGGACAAAGATACATTTTCCTGTTCAGGCTCAATCGTACCAAATTAAAAGGGTTACTTTATAATAAGTGATATTTTCAATCGTAAATATCGGCTTTTCTGACATCCTCTAAGCTTCTCCGCTTAGTATCCAGACACCACATAATGCAGTCAAGGTTTCTCAACCCTACAAAATATAAAAACGCAACGTGCAATGTCCACCTCAAATATGCCAGTGAAAGTTGGCATCTACTTCTGATCCAACAGACACACACCCTGGTAAATCTAAATACAAAGTAAAACCTTGGATTGCGAGTAACTTGGTCTGCGAGTGTTTTGCAAGACGAGTTAAAATTGTAAATAAATATTAACTTGATAAACGAGCGAGGTCTTGCAATACGAGTAGTGTACGTGTAGACACGCTTTGTACTGCCCAGCGTCACGTGATCACACAACTGGTAGACGTGTAGACACGCTTTGTACTGCCGTGAGTCACGTGATCACACAACTGATAGACGAGTGTTATGATGTACGAGCGCTTTGGATTACAAACACGTTCCCGGAACAAATTATGCTCGTAATGCAAGGTTTTACACTGTAGTGTAAAAATGACCAGCCTTGATACACCCGAACAACCGAGTACCCGCCTATGGGCCACATGCACTTGACGTTGGGAAAATCTTCAAAGCTGATCAAAATCTAAAACGCCACCAACTTAATGGCAATGTCTATCGCATGTCCAGTACCAGGGCAACAGCTTTAATGGTAACAAAAAAACTAATCCAATGGATTATTGAACACTCCAACAGCCACATGCCTCCTTGTGAATCCTGTTCTTCACAACATTCACTTAAACTGCCACATTGTTGTGAAGGGTTAACTAGAAAAACAAAGTACACGGGCAGGAGTTTAAAACCAATCTGCCCAGAGTAAACTACGCAAGCTTAGCATGGGCTAAAAAAACACAAAGATTATTTAGTTATATGTTGCGCTAGCTGTTACTACCCGGCTTCGCCCGGGACTTGGATCCACCATGCCCGGCCGCCTTTGTCTCCCCAGTGGCGATGTTCACACACCACAGCAGTTACTCGTTTGAGGCTGAGTCGACCTAGGGGAGGCCCAGGACCGGTTAAAATAATCGTCACCGGTGGTGGCGGTGAGCGGGAATCGAACTTGGGTCGCCGGGTTCGTAGCGCAGCGTAGCGCTAACCGCTACACTACGGGTCACGTGACAGATTTGACGTCACAGCTCACTTGCCGTGCAAAAAATAAATGCATTATCGAGCTCCCCCCCCCCCCCAAAAAAGAAAAGTGTATTTGTGTAATGTTTGCACGGTGTACAGTCTGGAAAGTACCCACATGGCAAATTTCCAGTTTGTTGCATGTCGGGAAGTACGCTAAACATTTTGAACAGACACACACAATCACAACTTTGCCTTTTATATATATGGAGAAGATAGGTATAAACGAAAATAACCTTGACCAGCTCTACACAATTGCAGTGATTGCATGTTTGATACAGAAGAGGGGAGTGGCGTTTCAAATAACTTCCTGTGACATCGACCAAGTTCTGTAGATTGTAAACAGTACACCAATGTGCTTCAAGACAACCAAGTGTCTGCAGGTGTGACATTTTTCTGCAACCAAAATCTCAAGTGCAGAAGCTGCATTATCCTCTTGAGAACGCTCCAAACTTCCCCCTCTACTTGGCCACGGATCTTCAAGTATAACACGGCAAAGCCGGCTGCGTACAGAAATAGTCAATGCCTGTTTCATCACGCCGTGCACACCCCCCATCCCTTGCGTTAAAAACGTCACCCCCCCCCCACACACCGAGGGCTCACCACCACCAGCTGTCGAGAGAGCGCGGCTCTGGTATGCTCAATATTGGTCTTACCTTGCTTGAGGCCAGGGTTGGTGAAGTCCCAGGTCTCAGAGTCATTTTTAAACACATTCAGACGCGTCGCCTGTAAAGAGGACACAGCAGGGGGAAAAGATAAACATTATTCGTGGCCAGCATATAGGGCATAGATGCTCGGAAAAAAATTATATAACTTTAGAACCTTCTTTGGTTCTTTCGGTAAAGTCATCACGTAGAATGAGGATAAAATAATAAACTAAAACAATAAAAGTCTCACGACGTTTCGGCCACAACACAAGTGGCCTTCTTCAGGTGAAAGGAAGAAACCTGTCGTCCCGACCTTGTGTTGTGGCCGAAACGTCGTGAGAATTTTATTGTGTTATTTTATTATTTTATTCTCATTCTACGTGGTGGTGACTTTACCTGAAAGAACCAAAGAAGATGAATCTTTGCAGTCACGAAAGCTTTAAATCGAAACTTTAGAACCATTTAAAATGTACAAGCATAATAATTATTAAGCAAGTCATTACCCCCGAGACAATTACGGCACGCAACTTGCGGTGAAACCGAGGTACTTAACGCAACCCTTCACCTCCTGGGAGATGAATGAATAAGAGCTGCCACACGTAGGAAGTCAACGGTAAGCTAAACTTTCGCGCCGTACGTAGCAAAAGCGTGCTTCTTCTTTGGTTTTGCAGTCACGAAAGCTTTAAATCGAAATAAAAGCGTGCTTATCGGAGTTGTGGGAAACAGTGGCCATTCTGCCACCGTTTTTTTTTAAGATCACGTGTTGATTATCCCTCTTCGTTGGAACAAGCTCCCTTCGTGTTTGCAGATAAAAATCGCTAACCCTCGGTGGCCTATTTAAATTCCAAACTTGTTTAATTGCACATAAGTTTGGCATGCTCTGCCTAACTTGGTATTATTTATTCGCGGTGTTCCTCGTGTACTGTGAAGCATTAGCCTTGATCGTATACCTCAAAAATGTTGAAGTGCCATAACCCCGTTATGAAAATGATGCATTCGTTATTACTGTTCTGTAATTTTATTTCCTGCTAACAATGTAACATCTCCCCTCAGGTACTCTGCAGGTCTCGCAAAGCAGCCTATGGCTGAATGTTAATCACCCGTCACCAAATAAAATTGAATTAAAAACCAACTCTACCCTTCCCACTGGATGCGAATTTTCCACTAACTGGCTCAGGGCACTGGCTCAGATGAGAACCACCCTCACGGTAATATCAATTGGGAAAAGTTTGACTTTAGACAACGGCAAGGATGACCGTCATGCACAATGGGTTGTTGTAGGTTGTGGGGCTGTGTGGTGGGCAGCTGTAAAACCCATTGGGTGCATTGTATTTCTATGCTGCCACAAAATATGCTACACTCCTTTACCCCGCACACAAGTCAAATAACCCCACAACAGGCGTCGAGTGCGGAAGCCCTCATCTGGCAATGAATTGCCGTGTGTATTCAGCATTATTTGCTCACCAAAGTGGTCAATTCAGAATATTAAATTAATCTTTGGTCTGCGGGTGAAAAAACCCAGGTTGTGGTGCACACACTTGTGAATGTACAAAGTATCAGTTGTACTTGCCCTCGCATAGTCCACTATAAGAGTACAGCAGCCCGAATAGATGTCTGCTCCATTCAGAGATGAGTTCGCTCTCTCGGCGCTCTCAACCGAAACAAACGTGGCCAAAAATTAAGGAAAACACGACCATTTCATTTTAAAAACAATACATTTAGCATCTCCAAAATAACACGTAAAATTACGTGAATGGCGGACATGTCGTTACGGTTATGCATCTCGTTGAAAGGATATTCCACAAAGGCCTGCAGGCCATTCTTCCTGAAGATCACAATGCGTTGCAGAGGCCCAAATGGTTTGCAAATGTTGTAAAGCACATCCTGCAGGACCACATGGAGCACACAAACGCAGCGAGGTGATTTTGCACGCATTACCAAGTAAATTTGAAAAGCTTTTTTTCCAGTGAATTTTTAAGATCGAGCCATACAGGACATCAACGCTTTCCAAAATCAACATTAGGTCTATTTTTTTTTATTCAATGCCATTGGTAGACTTCAAAGCACAAACAAAAAACACGACTTCAATTGCCTCAAATGAACTAAAGGATCGATGTAATTTCCTTAGAAAAAGCCATTCACTGTAATCCAAAACGGATATAATTTCACTCGTAAAAATGAAACACGCGTGTGTGTGCGCGCGTGTGCGCATGGCACACCCGACAAATTATTCACGCGTGAATGTCTAGCTGCTGTGAGCGTAACAATGCCCACCGTGGTGATGGGGTAGATGGGGTTGAGGATGGTGAAGAGCAGGACGTGGTTGCTGTTGCCGTTATCCCCCGGGACGCCAGGGCGCCAAAGCTTCTGGCTGGTAGAGAAGTTAAAATAGGCCGGCTGCCCGCACACGTAGACGGAGCCCGTGGACGAGTAGTCGACGCAGCTGCGGGAGCTCTCCGGGTCTTCAAACTCCACCAGTGCCTGCCGCGTCTTGGGCATCATCACCACGTAGCTGCACGGAGGGAGCGATTCAAACGAGTGCCGTTATTCAAAGATGTGGCCGACTTTAAAACGCGTGCCTGTTGTTGTTGATGTTAAACACGAGGTTGGTCTGCTCCAAGTCACCTCATTTGATCTCAAGAAATGTTTCAATGCATGCAACGGAGTGGAGACTGGTTGGATGCAGGTTAGATGCCACGTCCCATTTCAGTTTGGCAGTGTAGTGCGTTGGAATTGAATGTACTGTAACAATATAATTAGATTTAGAATACATCTTGAGGGTAATGTAGTCTTCTTCTATCGATGTATCACCTGATAAAGGAAGCCTCTTCAAACGTACATAAACAAGGTATGTGTGCACCATTTCAATACAAGATATTAATTTTTAACACGGTTACTAATCACATTTGAACGTGTGCCGCTTTTGTCAGATGGCACAACAAAAGCAGCAGCGGCACTTTAATTCGGAGGGAATTCGTGACTTGGGAAAATTGAAAAACAAACGGTTTTTTGTTTCGATTTAAAGCTTTCGTGACTGCAAGGATTAATCTTCTTTGGTTCTTTCGGTAAAGTCACCAACACGTAGAATGAGAATAAAATAATACAATAAAATAACACAATTCTCACGACGTTTCGGCCACAACACAAGTGGCCTTCATCAGGTGAAGGGACGAGACTGTCCCATTTCAGTTTGGCAGTCTCGTCCCTTCACCTGATGAAGGCCGCTTGTGTCGTAGCCCGAAACGTCGTGAGAATTTTATCGTGTTATTTTAATTTTGATCGATTTATTATTTTATTCTCATTCTACGCGGTGGTGACTTTACCGAAAGAACCCCAAAGAAGATGAAGCGGTTTTTGGTTGGTCACTTCAGGCTGTAAAGGCCCCGAGTAAGCCACGCACGGCGTCGCCGATCACGCCGTGACGTGGGCAACGCCGCGCCCTCTCGTCCACCGCCACACGCGGCCACGGCTTTTTATTTACGGAAGTGGTTCTTGAGCTTTAACCTGCAGCCTTGCCACCCCCCCTTTGGTTCTCAATATTTTTTTTCAAACGTACAATGTTTATTAATTTAGAGGTTTGATGGAACAAAGTAGCAGTGCTTACGTGCCCGTGCTCAATGTGTTTCGATGATTTACCTTGTTAAAAATAATCTGGCACGTCTTGCGCCCCCAGAAAGGGCATCTCCCACCCCGTGCTTAAGAACCATCGAGTATTTTCGTGTTATGCAATTTCTTGAGTTGTCGAAGCGAAAATCGGTAATATTCGAATTTCCAAGGTCTACGTTCACTCCACGTCCGCAAACACCACCACCACAACAATAATAACAATAACAACAATAATAACAATAATAATAACAACAATAATAATAACAACAATAATAACACCAATAATAATAACAACTATAATAACAATAATCTTTGTTTTTTTCGGTAAAGTCACGTATAAATAAGAAATAATAAAATAACATAATAGCATACGACGTTTCGGTTGCAACACAAGCAGCCATCATCAGGTACAGAAGAGCTAAATTTACGAGAGAGGGGAGACACATAACCTCAGATGTATATACAGACACCCAAGTAGGGGGGAACTAACACCGACACAATAGGGGACACAGAGAGAGAAGCATACCAAACAGACAAGAGTTTAGCAGAATTTGGAAACCAAATAAAGCAACACAGACGGTCGGTCAAAACACAATTAACGCAAAGCCTGGTTGATTACGTTATTTCAAAGATTGCTAAATTGCAAGTTAAGTATGAAATTTAAGATACAGACGGCACACACACACATAGACATTCAAGTAGAGCGGACCAGCACAGGTACAAGCACACAGTGAAGTCGCCTTAAATAGGCAGAGAAGGCAAGGCTGAGAGACAATGGGACATATTAGCATGAGAAGGCAAGGCTGAGAGACAATGGGACATTTTAGCATGAGGTATGCATAGAGCAAAGTGGAGCACGGCAGCAAACATTCGGAAGCACCAAGACCGACACACAAGCAGAGACAGCACAGAGAAACAAATCCAAGCACAGACACAAAGGCAGATACACAAGCAGAGACAACACACAGACAACACAAGACAACACAAAGACAGACACAAAGATACAGACCTTATACCTCCCCGTAGAGGCGGTTTAAACTTGGTTCAAAGCTTTCGTGACTGCAGGAATTAATCTTTGGTGTTTTCGGTAAACAACAATAATAACAATAATAATACAGCTTCCTTCCCCATGCGGGCAACGGTCACCACCGACTGGTCACCTGACTAGGCCAAAGTGCCGCACGGCCTCCACGAGGTCCGACTCGAGGGCTGTGTCCAAGAGTCCCCGCACGTGAACCACACCCGACGGTGGGGGCTTGTGTGGGTCCTCAAACGTGTCCTGTGCACGTCGGCAAGGAAGCAAACTCAACACGACTATTGTGCAAAGCTGTTGTTTCCTCCTATACCGAGAAGACAGTTTTCAGTTTCATTTATTTGGTATAGCCCTGTGAGCCATTCGGCTCTTGAATCGGGTGCAACCGCAACAAACAAAAACATGAACAAGAAAAACATCTTACAGTGATTATGTGACTGTGCAAACAGAAAATCCAAGAAAAAACAGCAAAATAATCCTTGAAATAGCACCGTACACCAACGCTGTGTGCAAAAATCCCAGTGGGATGCAAGTCAAACAACAACAACAACCACAAGACAACTTAGATTAAGGCCATCAGTCTAACTCCGTACTACAACAAAACAAACATGGCCAAACCATAAAACTTTTTCAAAATCAAAATAAAGCCACGGCTAACATCGCCGGCAAGTGATATCGGAGCAGATGCAGACACTTGCATTAAAGGGGTTTTTAAATCTGCATCCGTTTGGCAAAAAATGGCCATAGCTCAGTGCCATCATTTCAGTAATCGCTAAGAACGTTCGCGAGTTTAACTTTAAATCTAAACGGCCCTCGAGTTACAAACTCTGGAACTCGCATCCCCCACCGCCAGGTGCGCTTTTGTAGACGCTGTAAAGTTTTATTATTCCGCAAAGTTTTTAATCACATTGGGGAGGGTCGAAGAGCTACCCCACGACGCCATCGCGTGGGACATTTAACACATCGGTATTTTAACTTAATTAGTATTTTAACTTTTGATTTAAAGCTTTCGTGACTGCAGGGATTAATATTCTTGGTTCTTCTGGTAAAGTCACCACGTAGAAGAGAAACAATAAAATAATAAAAATATAAAACAATACAATTCTCACGACGTTTTGACTGCAACACAAGAAGCAATCATCGTCAGGTGTGAAAACCACAGCAAGAAAATTTGAATAAAAGTGGCGTTTTTTTAACGTCAGCACCACGGAGAGCGATTTGAGAGTTTGTTCAGATGGACGAGTCCATCTATGTTCTGAAAAGAGGAGGGGGGAGACGAAAATAATGGATGCGGTCTGAAAGCCACCGTAAGCGTGAACAATTAAGACCCGAAATGGTTTATCAAATCCTTCCAATGATTGCTAAGCCAGAATCCATCTTCTCGGTTGAAATTGTCTCTGTGCTTGTATATGTGGATAGCCTCATGAACGAATCTCTCCTGGTAGGCAATGTTTTTATTCGTGGTCCGCCAGGAAGTGTCTAACTGTGTCGTTGGCCTGACTGGATGTGCTTCACGTAATGTTGTTTCAGGTTTGTTGAATTCTCGTCTCTCATCTTTTGCTGTATTTACCTCCGTGATTTGTTCTTGACACCTGATGAAGATCGCTTGCGTTGTGATCGAAACGTCGTGATTGTTTTTTGTTTTAATATAATTTTATTGTATTTCTACATACGTGACTTTACCGAAAAAAACAATGAGTAATGTTTTTATTGTTTCATATTTTTATTATTTTAGTTCAGTGCAAAGAGAATACACACCCTTAGAAGAGAAAACGCCGTCTAAAAAAATTACACTGGAAATAGCCCAAAGTGTTAACGAACACGAAATCCACGTTTACCAAAACGCGTTTTACTGAACGTAAGCAGAGCCTAGCGATGCTGTGGTCCGCGTGGTCCATCCCCAACACCAAGAAGCTCTTCGCAACGGCACTGGAATCTGCGAGTTACAAAGCTAAACAATCACGTTAAATAATATAAACACGGCTGGTGGTGGTGGTGGCACGTCGCCTGAGTGAAGCCTCTGGCCCAGGCCTCACAACGAGGCTCTGGGCGAGGAGGAGTAAAATAAACATCTTCTCGTTATAAAAACACCTCGTCAAGTCGCTCGTCACTGACGCTCACCATCGCGCCCGCCTGGACGCGGTCGTTGCCTTCGCCATTGACTCCCAGGCGCTTGGCCGCGTGCCGGGCGGCGGAGGCGGCGGCGGTGGTCGACATCGTGATGGCGTGGAGCGCCGGAGGGAATCGATTCGCGATCCTGTCGCTCGAAAACGATGCCCGCGCGGATCGCCGAGCGTCAGCGGCAGCAGCGGGCGGCGGCGGCGGGGCGATTCCAACGCGTGACATCGATTCTCGGATCGATGTGGCCTCTGGCGATGTTCGCGCGGCTTGGTGTGACCCCACAGCCACTCGTCACGTGATGCCTCTCTCGGCCGACTGGGGCCGGCGACGGAGATCTGAAGCAGTCGTGGGCCTCCCCCTAGGTCGGACTCGGACTACAATTAAATTTGATTATATTTTTATAATATTAAATAAATAATAATAAATGATAAATAATAATAAATGATAAATAAAAATAATCAAATTTGATTATTGTAAAATCATTATAAATAAATAAAAAAATCCAATAATCACATTTTATTACTTTTAAATAAGAATAAATAAAAACCAAATTTTATTATTTTTAAAATAAGATTAAATAAATAAAAAACATACATTAAAATAATAAAATTTGATTGTTTTAAATAATAAAGAAATATACATTATAAGTTAAAATAATCAAATTGGATTATTTTTAAATAATGATTAAATAATAAAATAATTGACATATTTCGATCACTTTTACATAATAAGTAAAGGCAGAAATATTTAAT